AGAAATTTGATCACACCGATGGAAACCAGTGCGAGAGCGATACAGGATCGTGCACAGAGACCCCGCGATGACAACGTCACCAATTGCCGCTAGAGAATTAACTGATAGAGATAGCCCCTAAATCACGTTGGAGCCATTAAGATAAAAACGATTGGAATAAGATTCACCTTTAAGCGTGTGACTTCAGAGAAGGTGTGGAACTGTAGCCTGTGTTTTCCTGTCACCACAAGTTGGGCAGGTGGGGAAACGGCGGACGCACGATATAATTGTATAAGCTATTTTTTCTGTTCGGTGAGCAACTGAATTATTTGAATAGAAGAGCGCATTGGCGGACCTAAAATGGCTCCTGCAGCGCAAGCGGGTTGAAATAACTTCAAGAGGAGGAATTAATAATGACAAACCGAGCTCCCCCACAATGAGTAAAACCTGGGATGCTGTGAGCGAAGGTAACACGTGGGATACTTCGAAATCAGGACATACGATGATAGCGATGAGCCATCCTTTTCGATTGCTTACTATAAACTTATTGAGAATTTAATCCGGAGGAGGTGACCGTAAAAACAACACACGTCGCCAAATGCGCGATGCCAGGAAACTATTAAGGTACAAATCTTAGTGAAGGAATCGGAACGAGACGACGTAGTGGCCTCACCATTGAACCATGAACGCCGTCAATCCCTATCATAGAATTACGCGCGAAGATTTTAGTAGCGATTGGGAGACGCACGCTAAACAGAACTTGAACCACCAGCGTTCTATACCCAGAGTCGGTAAGCGGGTGTGGAGGATAGGAGCATAAGACTATGTACCGAGGGATTTCGCCAAGGAAACTCTGATTGCCCCAATTCGTGATGGTATATGCGTAAACTATAAGGGAATAGTCAACGAAAGGCATAAGCGATAAAGTAGGTATGTCTGTACCGGTATGAGATATAAGGGCTTGATGTATCGTGTCGGAAACCATTACGGCCGCAACCTATGCGAAGTGAGCACCATGTATGTGAGATAAGAGCATCTGAAACCAATTTTTACCAGAGTCTTGAGGGGCCATCGGTCGCTTTGGTGTGTGAAGTAGTACCAGGCTTGAATGCAAGAAACTGGGAGAGTTCTGTCAGTTTTTTAAATAAACGGAGGATGGGAAATGGAAGACCTCCAAAAAGACTATGGAGTAGTTAATCTGAGAGAGCTGTTACAAGGATACCATGAATGCTCACCATCCAGAGACCACAACTCCGATAAAAGCTGCACCCAAGCTACATTGGAGAGAGTTTGAGGGATTGATGATACCGAAGCGAATGACACTCACGTATCGTTGAGAACGATCTGTGCGGCGTCTGCCATGCCCAGAAATTCAAAAAAGCGTGGTAAAAAATGAACGTGGGATGGGCGACGGAGAATTGAGCTCAAGCTTTTATATCTGCGTTTCGTGATGGCTGTTAAATTCTCATGATCTGTCTTGGCCGATTCCATTAGGCGGAGTTCAATCTCGTCGATGCCATCAAGGAATTTGTATCTGATGACGTCAGGTGATCGTTTCGCAAACTAATTTAGGACGTACAGCCAGCGTTTTTGGTTTTCAAATGGAAAAAGATTTTCCCTGCTTCACAAGCCTTCATTCTCGAGGTGCATTGCCGAAATTTGGGCCCCAGCACAGTAATGACCGAGCTCGGCAAATAAGAGGATATATACATATCAACTCCAAGGAGATAAATAAGGTCCAGTACATAGCTTGTATTTCAAGTTTGGTTCTTTCTGCAAACGAGCTACTTCCCTCTCGATTCCTTTTGAGATAGAAAAGAAACTTTTGATATGATTAGCCTGAGGTCCGGCGGATGTCTAGTGACAGTGCTTACTGGGAGGGCACCGCTCGAATATTTCTACGTGTTGCGTACTTATTTGTCTTGGATGGGATAAGGACATGTTGACGGATCTTGATTCAATTTAGCGAGTACCCACTCGGAGGCGTAATATGATCAATCAATGCTAGTTAATTCACTGAACCCTGCTTACAGTTATTGCGGTTCAAGCTGTTTCAAGCCATGCCACGGCCTCGCAAGCCTTTGGAGGCCCTTTACGATGATCGCGATCGAACCTTTCACGTGCTCAAGAATGGACGGCATTCGGCAATTTACCTTTTGGCCGATTTGCAAATTCAGATCCTTGAGATGATGGTTGAGGCTTCAAAAAAATTGAGGACATCTCTGAATTCGAAAGTGCGGCGATCATTGTGCGGCAGATCTGTGCGGCGATCCGGGTCACGTGTTTGTTGGCCAAACAATAGAGACGCGTCAACACAAGTACAAGATACAAGCGCGACGCGTTTACCTTGCTCGCTCAGCCGCAAACTTCGTAGCTTTCAACTTTAAACATATTATATTAATGTAACTACACATTCCGGTGAAGGAACGGGAAGATGGGGAGCACAGTGTCACGGAACTGCAGCTATAATGTGGCTGACCAGTAACAGTTGCCCCTGCCCCGAGCGTGACCCAGCGGCTCTCGCAGCACCCTCAATCTCTGTCAACAGTTGTCAGTACCTCCCACCCTGCTGTCACTGTGAATGGGCTGGGTGGTGGAAAGATAATCAGAAGGTGGGTCCGGACGCCAGGACCGATGATACTCACGACACGTCAGTGGTTACAACTGTCATCACACATAGATATTAGAACTTTGATTTGTAATAATTTTTTCGAGCTCGAGGGCATTGTCAGGCATGCGCGTGAGGCTTCGTAAAGCAGTAGAATTTTATTAGAATGGTGAGGATGTTGAGCAGAAGTCCCGTGACATGCTCGGCGGAAGTTCCCGCCGCACCTGTTGCCGCACAGTGCGGCGGTTTTTTAGCCGCACTTTCGAATTCAGAGATTTTCTGAAAAAATTGAGGACCCAATTCGCTTTCTGCGTCAGATAAGTAGAAGGGTTGAGAAGCATATCGGTCAGCAGTGTGATTGAAATGTTCGGCGCAAAAGTTGTCAAGTCAACGACGGCGGCGCTCATCTCCACCTCTCTTTGATAACAGCCGCTTCTCCCTACGCCCCACACTGCTTCCGACCTTCCCCTTATAACACCGCGATCGATCATGCACGAGGGTAATTAACCGAGAAATAGCCATTCGTCAGCGGATATATATATATAGACAGCACTTCTTCAAACTGTTCGCAATTTCAACTCGATGGAAACGTAGTAAAGAAGAGACGTTTGTTAAAAGACATCGCTTTGGCACCAACGCACACGCTATCTTGAAGAATCGAAGGTGTGCGTAGTCGTCATCCCGATTTCTTCTCAGAGGTAGCTACCGAATCGAAACAATCTAATCTACATGTCAGCTTTGTCCAGCTTCATGTGTTTCCGCATTTTACCCGAGGTTTCATGCCTGCATACCCTTCACACTGGGGCGATTTCAAGAAAATTTAAATCGCAGCAGTCACACATTTGTTGGTGCTTTGAGACAAAATTTTCTGTCTTGAGGCTGGACGTTGCAATAAGCTGTCGAGGGTCCGTCCTGCCGCCATTGCCGTCGATGTGACGGAGTCTAAATCGTCGGGATCTTCCGAGATAACTCAACGCAAACTCAACGAACTCATGTACATATAACACGATCGGTTTTTTGCAAGCACTTCTGCGACTTCTAATACTCCCTCATTGATCCC